ATTGTTCTTATTCTTAGTATTCTCCCTTCTATATGTAACACCACTGGCCGAAGCCAGGAATGAACGAATAAATTTTATGAAAAAAATCCATGACAACAAAAAATCGTTCACATTTCGGAGACGCCAATTGTACATTTGTTGGTGCAAAATTAACTAATAATAACTTTACCTAATATAATTTATATTTAAGTTTGGACATTTTTAAGAAATTAGTAAAAATTATTTTTTGTACAAACATAACCTTATATCAACCATTTTTATATTTGAGTTCTCTAAAAACGCCGACAACTGCATTTTAAACAACAAAATATACTTACGAATTCATGGCAACATAATGTTAAATATAATACATAATATAATGGTATTTTACCGTTAAGTGGAGAGTTTAAAGAATTCTTAATCAACGCTTTTAAATTTGACGACTTATTTGTTTGAAGATTTTTACTGAATTGAAATGTTTATACTCTTCACGTTAATCATTACTAAAATGTGTACTTATTGTATCTAATAGATGCAATTTATATTTACAGGGACTGTATTTAATTTATTTCTTCATTCGGATTAACACTGTTTATTGAAAAACACTCGTTTGTAAAATAAGCGTTTGACAGCTGATTATTAAAAGTTAAAATATATAATATTATAATTATATTATTATATTATTATAATTTTTTAAACAAAATTCCATTTAAACCCCATAATATGAATTATAACTACTGGAAAAACTGATTTTTACTTTTAAAGCTTTAACAAAATTAATGTAAAGATTATAAGATAATTATCTTGTGTTTTTTTGTTCCCAATGAAATGTAATATAATGTTTATAAATAATTTAAAATTAAAATTCAGTAAAATTACAATTCTCACAACAAACAACCCTGGCTACAGCGGTGTCAAGAAGACACTTATTTAGCATGAAACTTTATCAAGCGAGATTGAAAAGTGCGGTGTAGAAAGGGGTGTAGCACGTGCTGCAAGCGTGACAGAACGGTAAAGTCTTTTGAGCATCATTTGGAAACCCGGTGCTGGATTCAGCAGGCTTAAAAATGCGCTGGATCCAGCAATTGCAATCCCAAACTGCCTTCGAGTAGTTTAATTTCCACACACTTTGCCAGCGAGTTGCAAACAGATGTGAGAAGCAGTTTCGACTACTTGGCGTGAGAAAACTATTAATACAGTATAAACGATATTTAGCTTTTAACAAGTACCGTACTCGTCAAAGAAGATGTTTAATGTTGCTACGAAAGAAGATTTTTTAAGTAGCATGAGAAGTGCTAACCTTGAAACTACAGCAAGGGAGAATAAAGAGACAGCGGAAAGAAAATGAAAACGAAAAAAAGTGCAAATATGTAGAAAGGGAGAGAAACTGGGTGAATTTCACAACCTGGCTTAAGTTTTACTTGGAATTGAAACTTCCTATCAATAACGATATTCAGCTCTAAAAAACTAAAAAAAAAAGATCGGTGAATACACTGCTTTTCTTTCAGAGCACTTAATGGATTTGGAACTTTTAACGACAGAGAACCAGCTTTTAAAGTTAATAAAGTTAAAGTGCTCTTTTAGTTCCACCCTTACATCCAAACTAAGATGTCCCATAAGCCAACTGAATGGCTTGTGCGGGTTAGGGGTAGGAACGGACCGACGGCTTAAAGTCCCCTCCGAAGGACTATACACAATGGGCAAACACAAATAAACAACCATACCTAAGTGGGATTCGAACCCACGACCTCTCGGCTCGTACCCAGGAGCTCTGACCACTACACCACCGAGGCCGGTTTTTCTTTGATGTCCTTTTTATTAATGCAAAAATGATGGAAGAAAAACTTTCTTGTTTTGGAGTGTACAATCATGCCCCAAAGGATGACAATTTATTAAGTTTTAAAGAATGTTATAACACTTTTCTAAAAAATGTTTTACAGTGCTACACCCACTTGAAATGGTAGAAAACCGTTTTAAATAAAAAATTTATTAACACCATTTTAATATAAGTACTAAAACTTTATTCTAAAGAATGCTTTAGGCTTTAAATTGTATTCTACAGAATGTTTTTTCTAAATATCTTGGAAACGCTAAATGCAACCGGAATGTGATGACACAAAAATGTTTCAATTCACAAAATACACATGTACATTAAAATATGTTAAAAAATAAGCAGCCTTTTTCTGTTTTTGAATTTAAAAATTTTGAAGGGACTTTCAAGAAACGAAATTTTGATTTGAACCAATCACCGATTTGATTTGATTTGATTTAATTTAAGACAAAACATCGAGATAAATAAATGATAATAAATTAAATAAAAAAAATAACTAACTATTCTTACTACTTGAACTCCCTTCTCCGTCACCTTAATCATTCTTGTACTGAGTCTCAAGGCAATGCTGATCCGAGCAAATTTCAAGCAGGCTGAGCATATCAACGACCAACTGGACTTTGACACGCAAACCTGGCTTCAAACTTGTTTTGACCAGCTGCACTATGGTTTATCGGCGGAAAAAATACATTTTTAAAAAAATTTTGATAATTTGTAAAAAACATCCTAAAGCAATATATTTTGGTAAAGAATTATTTTTAAATAATTATGTTTTGATTTTATGACACCTCAAAGTAGAATGTTTTTAAAACAGTAAAATTGGCTAAAAAATACGCACACATTTAATAAACTATATCTTTTAATCGAACAAAAAATGTATATTTTTTTATGAGTTTAAAGTACACCTTAATCTACATACAGGGTGTTATGTAATTAATGTAATATATTAAAATACTGAATACCTTTTGACATAAGATGTACCGGAAAAATATTTAAAAAAATATTTTTCTGTGAGTACATAGATACCAACCAACAAAGTAGCTGCGCGTTGCCAGTTGTAAAAAATTGTTACTAATTTTTTTTTGCAAAAAATAAATAAAAACTCAATAAATACAAAAGTTTTATGTCCTTAAAGCTCTAATACCCTTCTGTATTTATTTACTCATCCAGCTATTAGCTTAAGCAATGATTAGAAAATTTAGTACCTATTTTAAAAACTCCATGACCACAAAATTAATTTTTTAATCGGTTTTTTTCTTTCTGTTTACTCAGATAAAATTAGGACAAGTTCACAGGTTAAACTTTAAACATAAAATTTGTGTAAATAAATCAAAAAGCCTTAGTTAAGATATTTACAATTTTAGCACATTTTGTTTTAATTTACCTTCTTTACGAAAATGAAATAATCAACAATTAATAAAAACGGCAAATTAACAATTTGCATTGTTGATTTTTTCATTTTTGTAATTAAGCTAAATTTAAACAAAATATGGCAACTTTTTTTGCAGAATCTGGAAACGCTGCTTGTTACCAACCATAACATAATAAATTAAATTAGGCAACCAGATACGCCTAAAGTTCCTAGTCGATCAGTGGCGTACTTTTTGGTAGGATAAAGGTTATTATAAATTATTTTAAGTCTTTAGAATTTCGAAAAAAAAAAGTTTCAAGTGCTTCTTTATGGACCCTAAGGAACTACCCATTTTAATATATTACATTAATTACATAACACCCTGTATAATATTTTACAAAATTATTTCCCCAAATGATGCTCTAGTACCATCTAAAACGCATTTAAAAAATAAAAACCGTTATGTTTTTCGACCTAAATATAGTTATTTAAACGTAATAATCCTTATAATACAAGGTGTCCCTAAACTTAGTGGCATACATTTAGGAGCAGATTAAGCAACTCAAAATAAGACGAAAATCTAAATAAATATTTTTCCTAATTACGTATTTCTAGAAGATACAGGGTGATAAAGTGTTACTTATCATATCAGTTTTTTTAATATAACTTCTACTATGGTAGACTTGGAAAGGTGATATTTTGCGAACAGTCACTTACTACCAAAACACATATTCACACATAATTACAATTGTTCGAGTGAACGCAGTGGCGTAGAAAAAGGGTTTGCTTAAGCTTATTGTCCCATACAAACTTTGAGGTTAGGTTTTTATACCATTTGGTGCAATTTTTCGATTACTCAGTTCGGCTACTATTAAAAGGTGTACCTTTCAAACTTTAATAAAATTAACCGTTTCTGAGATATTCGAGATTACAATAATTGTTATATGGCATTAAAGGACTAAAAGGTATATGGTAACATATTTTTTAATTGAAAAAACTACAATTTTTTTAAGAACCGGTCAGGGCAAAAAGTCCCGAGGCTCATAAAATGTCCTTTTTAGTTTTTTCAATTAAAAAATAAAATTTGTTATCATATACCTTTTAATCCTTTTAAATAAAGCGATATAACAATTATTGTAATCTCGAATATCTTGGAAACGGTTTATTTTACCGAAGTTTAAGCGGTACACTTTTTAATGGTGTAATCGAAGAATTACATCAAATCTTATAAAAACCTAACCTCAAAGTTTGTATGGGACAATAAGCTTAAGCAACTCCTGTTTCTACGCCACTGCGTTCACTCGAACAATTATAATTATGTGTGAATATGTGTTTTGGTAGTAAGTGACTTCGCAAAATATCTACTATAGTAGAAGTTATATTAAAAAAACTTATATATGATAAGTAACACTTTATCACCCTGTATCCTGGAAACATAAGTAATTAGGAAAAATATTTATTTAGGTTTTCGTCTTATTTTGACTTGCTCAATCTTTTCCTAAAATTATGCCAATAAGTTTAGGGACATCTTGTATAATAAAAAGAAAAAAAATAATATTTATTTTTAATAAAAAAGCTTTATGATAATCTAAAAAAGCATTTAAAAAATAAAAATCTTTAAAATGTTCGATTAAAATATAGTTAATTATACGTAATTAAAAAAAGAAAAAATTAATATTTATTTTTAATAAAAAAGTTATTGGATTTTTTCCGCAAAACGCTGCTTTTTGACCATAGTGCGCTGTGCCGAGTATACCTCTCTCTAAGACGGTCGGTCTTGGTTATCGAAAAAAATAACATTGAGATCTACGCAAAAGTGAAGCTACTGTGTTCACTTACCTTTTGAACCGCCAGTTGAGCAGCGTCGCGCGTGGTAAATGTGACGAAAGCATACCCCCTGTTTGTGCCCGTCATCGGGTCCATCATGAGCCGCAGGTCCCATATGGAGCCGCAGTCCTCGAACAGCGGTATCAGCTCGTCCTCGTACATGTCCTTCGGGATTTTGCCGCAAAACACCTCGCAGCCGCTGCCGGGCGGCGATCCGTCCCATCCAGGCGGCGGCCCGCCATACTTCCTTTGACCTGCACACAAATTTATTGACGTATGCCTTTAAAACATTCACACTGTTTAAAATATCTGTGGTGTAAAGAGTAATCTAAAAATGGTGTCAAAATCTAACACCAAGTGGTGTTAATATAAACACCATGAATTATGGTTGAAAATGTTATATACAGCAAACACCAAAACGGTGTTTATCTAAAAATATTTGAGAAGTGCACCTACACAGAAAAAAAGGAATAGTTCATTTAACTATATTAATTTAGTTGACCCATAAGTATTTATTTAAATCAACTGTGGGAAGGTTAATATAAACAAAGATTAGTCTGACGGTACTAAACCAGAAAGTTATTTTTTTTTAATTGGTTAAATTAACCCAGAAAACTTTAGTGAAACCAACCCGCTGTATGGTTCAGTTTACTAAATATGTTGTTTGTAAAATAAGAGTTACTTCAACCTAAAGCACTCTGTTAAAACGATTAAAACAATTTTCCGTGCATTCCCGGTTGCATAGTGTGTACCGATCGCGGCAAAGGCGGTGTGGATCACGTGATGTTCTTAAATCTCGCCTCTGTTGACTTACATGAAGAGTATGTAAGCTCAGGTAGTCCTTTGCTTTGGTGTGACACTACAAGTTGTTCGATACTAAAGAGACCTTAAATAGGTGGAAACAGCTGTCAATACTTGAAGTATTTTAAGTTAGTGGAACGCACTAAAAACATTATCTCTAGCGAGTTGAAGATTCAATTTTCTGGAATAATACCACTGGTAATATACTAGTAATGCGTCAAGGAACTTTCTGTTTTCTTTTTTTTCGTTTTTTCTGTGGAGTATGATTTAATTTGACCAAAAACACATAATATTTAACACTGAAAAGGAGTACAATTTACACCAGGTAAAATTTATTTTAATACTGTGTGAAAGTTAAATTAACACTATTTTAGTATTTGAATTTACACCGGACCAACGAACCATATTCAACACGAATTTGGTTTGTATCGATATAGACTATTTATGGTGTTAATTTGGTGTTAAATTGGTCATGGAATTTTGAACAGTGCAACTCGATGAATGGCAAAGTAAGACTTCCTAAAATTGCTATTTAAGTTATAACAGCTTCTCAAGAATAACATCCAATTTGGTTTTTAAGAATGTTAACTTATACCTCTTATAAAAGATAAAAATATTATGTTTGATAAAAGCCATTTTAGTCACGAATTTAAATTAGGCACGAACGAGCTTTCAAGAGTGTAAAATTAAAATTTTTAAACAATATAATATAATTTTTCCACGACAAATACATATTATCTAAAAAATGATTAAAATTAAATATTTGTATAAAGCGACATCTATACGAAAATAAAGTAAACATTTTTGACGTAATTTTCACAATTAACATTGCCCGTTATTATTTTAATTAAACTTAACAATTATTTTTACTATTAATTAATATTAAAATAACTTCAAAACATGATTATGTCAAGAAACTATTTTTATTAATATTTTATAACTATAAGTGCAAAATATTACCACAAAGTATTAAAATTTCTTACACGGGAAATATGTTGTATTTATTGGAATTCCCGTTAGAATTTCTAACTTGGAAATCTTCCGGTGTTAAAATTTTAAATCTTTTTGTGTAAATCAAAATTTATCCCTTGAAAATATACTTTAACGCTTTATCAGTTAAATCTAGTTAACTGCACTACTACGGCGAAATCAAAAGGTCAGTACAAACATTCATATAATCTTTTCAAACATTGGCGTTGAGAAACTGTTTAATACTTTTGTTGTATTTTTGCATTGAGATAATTAAATAATGTTAACATTGGGATTATTTTACAAGAAAGGCACTTTATTTTAACGATTGTATGACATTTGACAAGTGTCAACTAACTTTGGCCCGTGCCTAAAAACCTGTGCTAACTTCAGCCAGTGACTAAAGCGCCACAAATCCATAGCTGTCAATGTGAATCTAAAATATTACTTAGTTTCATGGAAACTTGTGCGATAATGGGCGTTTTAAAGGTAGGAGTAGAAAAAGAATGTTAAACTAGGTTATAACAAAACCTTTACAAAAGTATTATAACAAGATACCTACTATATTTAAACAAAATCAAAATATTAAGTGTTGTAACTAGGGTTACCAGACTCTGTCAAAAAAAATCGGGACATTTGGTGTGAATTAACCTTAATAACAAAAATGACACAATCAATAATAATTAAGTAGGTAACGTAAAACTTACAATTTGTATTGTATCATTATGTCAATTTTGTAATTAAGATAAATTCATACAAAATGTCCCGATTTTTCTTGACATAATCTGGTAACCCTATTTGTAACACTGTTTTAAGAATGTTAATTGTAAAGTTTTAAAAATATTTCAAAGAATGTTAAACTAGGTTATAACAAATTGTTTTAAGGAATAATAAAAAAATATATTTTTAAAAATGTTTAACCTGGGTTTTAATACTTAAAAGCTTAAAAGGTTTATAAATTGTGGGGACTTTATGCGAAGAATCTCCAAGGAGTTTAAAGGCAGTATTATTTGATATTTGACATCTGTCAAGCATTTTTAACCTTACATTTTCTAATTTTAACTTAAAGCTAACTTTAGCCCGTGGGCGAAGTAGAATGTCGCTCACGAGTTGAAGTTTAGAAATGAATTTGATGAATATTTTCTTTAAATACAAATATTATAATTAATAATTAACTACAAAAATCGTCAAATATAACAAGGTTTTAAAGGAAGTTAACTTACAGTTCTAACCTAACTTTCTTCCAACCTTAAAGATCATTATAGTGACTATAATATAGTCGCCCCTCGTATGCTATCAAAAAATCTAGCAACTGTCAAACGGTTGTAACCTCACTTTCTCGCAACTTATCAATTAATTTTCAGTGGCAATATCATGATGGTGAGAATAAATTAACAATAATTTGACATAATTTCGAGTATCTATTATCAAATGGTAACAGGTTTGAAAAAGATCTGGAGAATTATTTTTAATTTATTGATCTCCTGTGGCATTCGTTGGATTATTTTTTGACGTAACAACAATGCCCAACAATAAAGACAGGTGTCAAAAAAAATTAAGTAAAAAATCTCAATGTGTTTTGATTGGCTAAAACGTACACACTCGACTAAAATTGAAAGTTTTTATTGGTTTTCAAAAACGTAAAAACAATCAAGAAAACAATGAACAGTCGTATAATCGTTATAGTAATTATAGAGGCAAGCAAAATCTCGCTGTCTCATTTTACAGTACAAAAATTAAACACTTTATATGGACAAAATCGGTGTTTTATTAGTCTCTAAGTACTACAAAATAATAAGTAACAAATAAACAAAAATAGAATGAATTCTCCTTTCACATAATTTAAGCAGCCGATTGATAAATCGGCAAAAATGGTAAAAACGTTATTATTGCCAAAAATCGGTAAAAAAATCGGAAGAAACATAATTATTGACGAAAATCGTAGTATTCGGTATTTTGGTAGGTTCGTTTCAATTTCGGTAGAAATACCGAAATTTCGGTAGGTTCTACACCATTGGAAAAGCAGTCACACCTCTTTAAAAGAGGTGTGACTGCTATTCCGATCGCGGCGCTAGTGGGAATTCGAAAGAGCCTTAAAAATAATACTTATTGCATTCTTCAAGCAATACACACACATATATCGACATATGAAAAAAGTCATGCTTAAAAATTAGTTAGTATTTTAAATCATTACCACCCTAACCTTACTTTTACTAAATATTATTACACTAGTCAATCTGTAAGGTAAACTAGTTATAAATGTAATTATAATGTAATTGTGGTTACATTTAAATTATTGTAGGTTACATTGAACGGTTGTCAAGTTGAGTCAAGTTGAGTTGTCAAAATTCGTAGTTTAAAATGCAATTAATTTGGCTTTGGTGGTACAGTGGCCGACACGGAATTTTGAACGGCTTTCGTCCAGTTAATATTAAAATCTTAACTTCCATTATGGCCAACCAACCTTACTTCCGGTTATCAGTAGTCTTGTCGTTTTGACAGCGAAAGCAAAAATGGGCAATATTGTTTCTTTGCTATTTACAAATTTATACATGGACAACGAAATTATAACGTTCAAAATTCTGTGTCCGCCACTGTACGTGGATGAGTAAAATCATATAAAAAAGTAGTTAAATATAGGTGACTACGGCCCAGGAGAGACAAATATTCCTAGCGGGTAATAATCTTCGCTTTAAAAAAAATAAATAAAATGAAATAAAATTTATGCGAACACACGTGAATGTTGTCCAATCATTGGACTCCAATGGTGAATGGGTATTTTGTTAAAACCACTGGACGTTAATACTTGTAGTGATCAGTAACTTGCAAATTAAAAGAAGAAAAAGTTTTGTGAATATTGCTTATCTTTTTCAAACCAACTGGATGCTATTTTCAAAGACAGGAAAATTAACTACTAGATTTTTCACAAAAAGGTTGAATCTAACAGCAAATAATTTTTATTTTTTGTATTATTACCACTTATTTTTTTTAATTTCAAAAATTTTTGATCTGCTTAGCGGAAAATAATGTGCGATTTAATATTTGTAAAACCAAAAACGTTACTTTTTAACTCCAAAAATTTCTATAAGGCGATGTACTTTTTCTGCCATTGAGGCATTCTTTTACTTTACTAAACATTAGATTGGTCCAAAAAAAAAATTCATCTCAAAACCTTCTTTTAGGTATAAAAAAAATTCCCTCCAAAGCGCAGCTTATAATATCTCAATTCTCCACTAAGCTCAATGAATTTTTATTTTCCCATTTAAATAGCACGTAAAAAAATTTTTTTTTCGTTTTTATCCGGTAAAACGAGGAAAATTTTTTTTTTGAATTTCTCATCAATGATTCTTGTAGAAAATTTAATTTTCCACAAAAAAGTCCTGAAGTAGTTTTTTCGTAATCCTAACGGGTAAAAAGTTATTAAGCTTCAAATACTTGCTACTTAGTAAATTTGAAACGATCTTCCTTCAAATTTACTAAGTGGCAAGTATTTGAAGCTTAATAACTCAATAAAAAGTTGCTTTGAAACGATCTTCCTTCAAATTTACTAAGGCCCGATTTTTCAATATTGCATTTAATTAGTACTTTCGTAAGTTACAGTTAGAGGTAAATTTTTAGTTAAATTGTAATCTGTTTTTTCATGCATTTTGAAGTATTAGTTACAGAATCACAACTTTTGACATATTTTTGTCATGTTGGTATTAAATATTACCGGAAATCGCCAAATATAACCTTATTTTGCGCTGTTAAAGTGAATTAAGAAAAGTAGACTGCTTTGTTTTGTTATTACTGGCGTCGGGAATATACTTAAATTTGTTTAAAAAATCATAAATTGTTTAAATTAAATTTGGGGAGCTTTGGTTTAAGTGTATAAATTTATATACTTAAACGGCCATTTCAAGCGCGCAAAACGCACGAATTACAAAACTGTTTTTATAAAAAAAATTGTAGATTATTTATTATATAATATTTTGGCATCAAAATTGTCAAAAATATTCTTCTTTTATTAGGTTATACATTAAATTAAAAAAAAAACGCAAGAAATATTTTATGAAAGTAGATATAATTTTAATAATTGAAAGGTGTGGACGGGACAAAAAAAAGATTTATCTTGTCCTGTCCACCCCTGTCAATTATTGAAATTATCTCTACTTTTATAAAATATTTCTTGCGATTTTTTTTACTTAATGTATAGCCTAATAATAGAAGAATACATTTGACAATTTTAATGCAAAAATAATATATTATAAATTACCTACAATTTTTTTTATAAAAACAGTTTTGTGATTTCGTGGGTTGAGTATTATAATGTTCTAACAGCACTTTTGGCGCGAAATCGGCTTTTTTGATAGAAAAATAGTACATAAAATTTCTGTTCTATGTATATAAAAATGCCTGTTTAATTTAATACACAAACTAAAAAAAAAGCATTATTAAATTGTTCTATCGCACTTATTTAAAAACGGTTTAAAATTATAATATCCTAACAGACCAACCAATGAGAGAAGAGAATTTTGATCTGTTAGAACAATATAATGTTTGCTGTTCCAGTTTTGTATGCAAGTAATAATCACGTGGTTGTGCGGTGCAATTAAAAAAAAAGAATACGTAGGTATGTTCTTATTTAAGGGATACTTCTTAGAACCCTAAAGTTTTGAAATTCTTTAGAACTAAAAACTTTTAGTTTTAAAGAATTTTGTATGCTGTTAGAACAAAATCTGATGTTTTGTGTAAAATTTTCGTTTTCAATAAAAAAAAATGTTCTATCAAAAATTGTTTATTTTGTAAAACCCAGTATTGGAAGAAATAAGTTTAAATAGGGACAATACATTTTTTAATTCTTAAGGATACGAGTCCAAAACCAGTACTTAAAATTATAAAAATCTTTACAAACGGTATTAGAATGAGCCTGGAATATTTAATCGCCATTCCCCAACAATTTCATTTTGGATTTATAGAACAATATAATACTCAACCCACGATTTGTCCCGTCCATCCGCTTGAAATGGCCGTAAACCGAAACTTCCCAAATGTAATTTAAACAAAATATGATTTTTAAACAAATCGTATAAATTTGATTCTATTTCCCCTCAAGTTTCTATTTATCCCGTTTTACAGTACTGTACATTTGCAATAAGTATACTAAATTCCGTTTTATCTAGTACAATTTGCAATGTCGATTGATACCAAATACAGTTTATGATTTTTTTTATCTAATCCTAAGTTTGGGTTATTAAAACTAGTTTTCAAAAAATAAACTTTTTTGTTTAACAAAATTTAGTATTCAGGGGTTTTAAGGACAAAAAAAATATTTTTTTTTTAAATCAATGTGCGTTTTTTCCTAAAAAAAAAGTGTTTTAAACATAATTCTGGTTAATTTCTGGAAAACCTAAAAGAGTTTCTACAGAATACTGGACACCCTGGTTAAATATATAGTATATTTTAAGTTAGTATTTATTATACACATGTCCGAGGTCTAACAATTTTTGGACGTCTCAATAAAACTTCGTCATCATCGTCATAAATACTAAAATCTCAATTCAATAAATCCATATTTAAAATTAGCACAATATTAACTGTATTTTTAGGTTAACCACCACTTTACTAATACAAGAAGTGGTAGTTACGGAAACTCAAACATAATATGTACTTGGATAAATAACTACCAATTGTAAAACACAAAAACAAATTAACTACTAATTAAGTAGTAATTTAATTTTTACTATTAATGATAAAACCGGGCCTAAGTAGCAAGTATTTGAAGCTTAATAACTTTTTACCCGTTAGGATTACGAAAAAACTACTTCAGGACTTTTTTGTGGAAAATTAAATTTTCTACAAGAATCATTGATGAGAAATTCAAAAAAAATATATTTTCCTCGTTTTACCGGTTAAGAAGGGAAAAAGATTTTTACGTGTTATTTAAATGGGAAAATAAAAATTCATTGAGCTTAGTGGAGAATTGAGATATTAAGCTGCGCTTTGGAGGGAATTTTTTTTATACCTAAAAGAAGGTTTTGAGATGATAAGCAAAAAAAAATTTTTTTTTGGACCATTCCACTAAACCAAATAAAAAAAAATGAAGTGTACCTGTTGTTACGTCCAGGGTGTATCCCGTCCGCTCGAGTATTTCCTTGATCTTGTCCTCGTCCGGGCCTTTGACGGGGGCAGGCGCGGGAGTAGCCGTCCCCTGACTCGAGCCGGCCCTGCTCTTCTGGCGATAGGTCTTCATCACCCCGCAGAGGTAGGCCGACTTGTTGGAGACATGCTCCAAGTTGGAGTCGAGAAACTGACCCAAGACGTTGAGAGCTCCATCGACCGGAAACTCCTTCAAAGCGTCCAAGGCCCGCTCGTCGAGGTCGACGTGCGCCAATTTACCAGTCTTATAAATCTCATCTAATTTAGCCGCCACTTTCTCATCGAGGCCGTATTCTAATAATTTTTGATAGTCTTCTGTTCTCTCAATTTCGGTTTCAATCTTCATTGGTTCTTCCGATAACTCACCATTACCTTCTGCCATAGCTGCAAACAACAAAAAACACACACTCAATAAACAATTTTACCAACCGATTCATTATTAAATCAAAACTAATACTGGTTTGCAATATTTGAACATCATTCTTTCATCATTTAAGTGTTTTAACCAAAATGTTACCTGGAAGAAGTTTTGATAAATTTATATGGCATTATATGACAGCCAGTTGACACTTTCCTTAAAACTAAAAACACTAAAAACTTAAACTAGTATGTAACACGTGGTAAGCAGTCAAAATATCTGAACCTGTTAAAACACATTGAACCGCCAAATTTTAATCCTATACAGGATGTTGGAGATATACTGCCCTACTATGGAGAAAGGCAGTAACTGCAAAAAAATGCAAAATGCGTTTTCTTGTGCTATGGTAAAGCTATGGACATTTTGTAACCGAATTCAACACAGAAATGAAGTCAAATATCTCATAAGTTAAAAAAATCAATTAAATACCTACTGCTTTTTATAAAAATGTAGTTTATGCTAATTTTCCACAAATTTCTTGTTTAGCAGTTACTGCCTTTCTCCATAGTAGGGCAGTATAGGTACCAAAACTTTAACACGTGGTAATGCAGGTTGAAACAGACAAATAATTGATCAGCATGGAAAAAGAATCAGTTTACCTTATGTGCAGTTTACTATGCGCAATAGCGAGTTATAGGTACGTTGCATCGCGTCGTAAAAAGTAAATTATTCTACAAAGACGTAAAAAAGTGCTTGTGTGAAAGTTATTACAAAAAAAATATAATCAACCGTGCACTAACTAAACATGTGTTAAGTTTTAAACGGCTTTAAATTTTGAGTAAGTAATTAAGGTTATGTTTTCAAGTTTTTTAATAAATAATTCAATTATAATACAATTTCTTACTTTTCGAAAATTGTTATGCTGGATTTAAGCAGCACAAATTAACATTAAGTTAACATTAACATTAGGAAGTTAAATGAACGAAATCCATTGGAAGCTTTTATGCAACACATTAACATTAACTTTAGCATTAAGTTAACATTAACGCAGGTTTGCGGCGCAATTTTTAAATAAACCGTGTCAGTAATAGGGTGGGCCGATTTTATATTTAACTTCTAAAATTTAAAAATATTAAATTCTGCATTTAAGAAAAAGTTGTGAAATAGGAAAGTAAACATTTTTTGCAAAATATTTTTTTTCATATCTATATGTTTTGAACTGCCGCAACGCCTCTAAAAATTTAAAAGTAATTTTTAAAAATTTAAAATTATTCATAAGCGGGAAAGTTGTGAAATAGGAAAGTAAACTATTTTCCTTTAATATTTTTTTTCTTTTTTAATGTTTTGAACTGTATGAAGTCAAATTGTAAATTTTGCAATAATTGCAATTATTGGAGAGACGGCGTAAAATGGAGAATAAATATTTTTTAAGATTTTCGTGTTTGACGTAGGACAGTTGACAGTTGGCTTCACTGTTTATATAAATTATAATATTTTGACATCGTCAATTAGTTGAATAATAGAAATTTTTACAAGTAGTATCTGTTTGTGGTTTTTGGGTGTTTGTGAAAAATGGCAGGTAAAACAGGATTATAAATTGAATTAAATTTGTGTTGATGATAAATTCATTTTTTTTTTTTTTTTTTTTAATAAATATTTATCATTCAAAACTTTTTTTAACCCTATTTTCTCTCAGATAATTTTTTTCGTATTTATAACGATACTAAATTACATTAAGATCTTTCAAGGCCTTGCGGCAGTTTAAGAAATTAAAATTAAAAAAAAAACTCTTATAATATTTTTCTGGCCTTATAAATGCACAACTTTTCCACCATTGTACAATTTGATATTTGAAAAATATTAAAATCGGCCCACCCTAGTCAGTAATGCCAACATACCCGAAAATAAAATGAAACTTACTGCTGAATGATTGATTTTTTATTCAATGATTGTGTTCTTTGGTTTATTGTTTGACGTGGAGTTTATAGTTTTTATTTATTTTACTTAACAGATGCTAAAACGGGATTAAAACAAAATTCAAACAAACCAAAAATGTCAGATGTCAAAATTACTTTAACTTATACGCATGCTTAATTTGCTACTAATTTTGCTGCATAAATACCCTCCTATTAATGTTAAATTAATCTTAATCTTAATGTTAATTTGTGTTGCATAAATCCACCATTATTCCCTCGTTAACTTTGAAGTTGTATAAATTTACATTGGTAGTTCTATATTATATTTATTTTCTGTTCATTGTTACAGATTTTTATTTCGTTGCATGAAGTTGCAGTGAAGAAAAAGTACTGCCTTTTTCTAGGTAAATAGTGTTTATGCGTACAAGGCTTTTACTACAAGCAGGACAATTTAAAAATAAATTTGTTACCTATGTACAGGGTGATCCCCTATAATGTCGCCCCCCTTTAACTTTTTTATTTTAAGTGTCCCAGTGTGGTTAAGTAGGTACTAAAAAATACTTTTTTTCTATGTATAAATAAATGGAAAATTGATCAATATACAGGGAAAAACAAAAATTTTATTTTTTTCAATGGATCACCCTATATATGAATTTATTTTTCGATTCCTTGTAAAATTCTGAGCATAATTTATATAACAAACCATATACCTAAGTAAAAATGTCGTACTCAGACAGAGAAAGACAAACTATTTCAACTTATTATCTTTAAAATAATTTAAATATTTCAGAAACGGTTGAATTTAGGTATATGGTATGTTATATGAAATATGCTTAGAATTTTACAAGGAATGGAAAAATAAATTCATATATAGGGTGATCCATTGAAAAAAAATAAACTTTTTGTTTTTCCCTGTATACTGATCAATTTTCCAATTTTCTTTATACGTAGAAAAAAAGTATTTTTTAGTTCCTACATAACCACACTTTTAAATTTTTTGGGACACTTAAAATAAAAAAGTTAAAGGGGGGCGACATTATAGGGGATCACCCTGTACAATGTTGGCCATAAGTTTTGCAACCACTGTAAAAAAATCTAACTCTAAAATGCCTTTATTATTCTTTATGAAATTTTGGATAAAAATACTTCAACTTATATCTCAGTTTACGTGTTTTTCGAGAAAATATTCTTAAAGCCCTTTTATTTAATACTGAAAAAACGATCGAAAAATAATTTTTAGGGTAATTTTTTTAAGTAAATAAAAAATATGCTGTTAAAGACCGTATTTTTGTTAGTATACCCTGAAAATTTTGTACAAATTAAACGAACACTAACGAAGATACAGCGCTTCAAAGTCGGTGCATTTTTCAACTTAAAATTTTTCAATAAAATTTAGTAAAGGGTCGTTTTGAGGGGTGGTGAATCCAGTGCAGTGCTTAGATTTTGTTTAAAAAATCGCTAATATGAATTCTTAAAAATTTACTCTTAAAAACTCATAGTAGGCCTTGTATTTTAAACAAATATGCCGTTTTTTGCTCCAAAAATACAGTTTATCAAATCCGGTTAAAATCGCACAATAAATAAAGGTTTTACAGGGGTGAGTCGCAAACAAATGGGTCACACTGTATATGTATTTATAAAGCGTTTTATTTACCCAATTTTAAAAAATTAATAGATTTTAATGTAAACGAGAAAAAGCTTTTTTAGTAATATTCTTTCAAATATAATTATATTTTTAAATACTTGTTCAAATATTTACCAATATCATGTCATTGGTCAATTTTTTAAAAGCCTGATATTTGACCAAATAAACATAAAAAATTGAAAGGGCAATTATTGGCCAAGTTTTAATCTGATATGGCTCTCTGGGTAATAAGCCTATATAAAAATTTAAGTCCTATAACATTTGTGTACTTAAGTCCTATAAGATTCATGTACAACTTATGCTGTCAATATAAAACAATACTGTTGAGGAATGTAAAAGCATACCTAATCAATATAATTTTGCATGTCAAAAATTGGTTTACTTTCAGTTGCGAAAATGTTCAAATAATGCAAACCTATTATATTTCTAACAAAGCATTTGCCAAAAGACCAAAATATTCAACTAATTATAAACTATAAAGCGTAGGATGCCAAATAGTCATAACAGATAAACAATAAAATTTTGTTGTATTCGCAACCGTAAGTTTTTAATAAGCAGAATAACTTACAATACGACCCTGTCACAAACTATAATTTCACAAAATACCCATTGTTGATAAATTTTGTCAAAAAACTAACTAACCACAAGAAATCTAACCAACAAATCGCTACTACAAGACACGGCGTAATTCTTAAACCCTTTAACGAAGTTATTTATAGTACTAAATACACACAGTCAACACACATTACATTACCTATGTAGAATTTGAGATGGCGCAGCCCTATTCATTATAATAAAACGTTCCCTGTCTACCCTCTCTCGGTTCGCTCAACCCCTGTTTGGTCAAAATCTTCAGAACACTTCTCATTCACTTGGCTGAGTTACAAAGGGGGAGCTAAAAAAATTCCGAAATTGCAAATTATCAGGCCAACAACAAAAATAAAGCAACATTTACAGAGAAAAAATATTCAATTTAAAAATGGCTGATAATGGAATTATATACAGAGTGACATACACCCGATTGCCTCCACCATTAATAGCTGTCAAAATTTGTTATTATGCCAAATTTGGAGAAAAAAATCAACATGTTAATAAAATATTTAAAGGATTATTATGCCATGATAAAAAGAACAAAGAAATGGTCTGAATCCAAAAACATTGATTAAAATGGATAAAATATTTAAAGAAATATAATTTTTATGATAGAAAAAAGAACAAAAAATGTATTGATTCCTAGATGTTGCATTTTCTATGTCACTAAGTATACAGGGTGACTCAAAAATGGTGCACTACGCTGTAGGGGGATATTTTGAATATAAAAAAATTAGAAAACATTTGTCCGGTTTAAAAAACGGTTGTTATGACAACAAAACTAACAACGCCTTAAAAATTTGATTTCAATCTGTCATTTTTTCATTGTATTCTATCCTTATACTCAAAATAACCTCAATTCAGTGTGGCAATTT